ATGTATGTATGGATTGTGATAAGAGTTGTATGAGCCCCTAATAAAATGATTTTAAAAAAATGATTGTGGACTGAAGTCAATAACATTAGAAAGGAAATCGTTTGGTATTACCCTCTCATTTTACAGATGTGACGTGAAGGAGTTGGACATTTTTCAGAATCCGATAGAAGTTAAGCCCTAGTCGGGTAGTGGCTGTCCACTGCAAGGCCAGCAGTTTGAATCCACCAGTAGTTCCTTTGGGAGAAAGGTTCAGAGTGTTTCTGCAAAGATTACAGCTTCTGAAACCGCAAGGGGCATTTTCACTCTGTGCTGTAGGAAAGGCATGAATCGAATCAACATGATGGTTGTAAGCTTTCTTGTTGGTTAGGTAGAAGCTGGGGACTTTACATGCAGCTAGAAGCCAGGGAGGGAAGTAAGAAAAAGCTGAGGGAAAATTCAGAACTGAGAGGCTGAGTGGGAAGCTTAGGGTTGTAGGAGCCACAGCTTTCCCCCAATATAGTGCCGCTGAGGGAGAGATTGTCAGTTGGAAGAGAGGTTTTGCTGAAATCAGATTGCTCATTAGACCAGAGAATTAGTCTTTCTGACGCCCAGGGAAATGCTGCTTCTGCTGCTTTTATTGCTGGCACTTCTCTTTCAAGGTGGCGACAATAAGGATGGTAAGAATAATCCTGGCATCTCTCACGGATGTTATGGGGAGATTTGGGTAAACTATGCTGTAGTGACCGCAGGTGTAGTTGGCCATTAAATGTTATGCACTTCTGTTTCCTGCCTCTTCAACCATGTTGGAAGTTGGGACTAGGATCGAGATGTTGGGATAGGCAATTGTCTAGGCTATATGTGTTCTTCAGGCCGCTCCCCTTGTCCTCCCCCTCACCCCAATATCAAATGCATTCTCTCTCATATTTTTCATTCTCCCTTCTCACCATTCTTTCACTCTGTGCAGATTTCCAGGGTCCGACCTCGTTCTACCTCATCCAGATATCATCCTTTCCCAATAGCACCTGGGCACAAAACCAAGGCTCAGGCTGGTTGGATGATGTGCAGATTCATGGCTGGGAGAGCAACTCAGAAAATGCTACTTTCCTGAAGCCCTGGTCCAAGGGCAAGTTCAGTGATCAGGAGGTGACTGAACTGGTGGACATATTTCGAGTCTACCTGATTGGATTTATTCGGGAAGTACGAGATTTTGCCAGTGTATTCCAGATGGAATGTGAGTTCTGGAGGGATTCTGAATTACTTTTTTCTGCCTCGTTGTTTGGCTGCTACTTCCTGTGATCCTTCCCTCTTCCCAAATGTCCTGAAACTGCATGCACACTTCTCTAGAGTAGTCTGCTGCCCTGGTCCCATAATTCCACACAATAGTTCAGAACCTTGCTACCTCCTGATTACTTTAGTAATAGTCTTTTTTTCCCCTCTCTAACCATCCTCTCTTTAGTCTAGTATGAAATCGACTACTCTATTCAATTTTAAAACCCTCACTTTCCCTAGACTGTGCCTGAGTGTGTTAATGTGATTTTCCTTAAGATACGTGTCGTCTTTGTTGATTCTCCTTGCCCTTCCCACAATGTAATCATTCATTCTGACTCCCTCACCCAATCCCTCTTATTCTTCACTTATTGTTAACCACCATCCATTACAAAGCAAGCCTGGTCTCCCACTGATGACACACATACCGTCCCCCAATGTTCATCTCTCTAAATACTGGCATCGGTTTTTGGTTCCCAGATATCTCTCCCCATCAAAACTGTCCTAAGTCTATTCCTTATCCTTTTATTCTTCATTTACTATTTAATATATTTCTGTTTTCCTTTTACGCAGATCCGTTTGAGATCCAGGGCATAGCTGGTTGTGAGCTGTGTCATGGGGAGGCCCCAGAAAGTTTCCTGAGGGGAGCTCTAGGAGGACTGGACTTCCTGAGCATCCCGAATTGTTCATGTGTACCTGCTCCAGAGGGTGGCTGGAGGGCAAAGAAGTTTTGTGCAACAATCATTCAGTACCAAGGGATCCTGGAAGCAATAGGGAAACTCCTCTTTCTAGACTGCCCTCAATTTCTCTTGGGTGTTCTTGATGCAGGAAAGACAGCTCTACAACGGCAAGGTTTGTCCCACTCTGTCTCCAAGATGTTTCTGTTACTGATAACTGCCTGTGATCCTTCACTCCTCCCAACTATACCAAAACTGCACGCACACTTCTCTAGAGTAGTCTGCTGCTCTGATCCCACAATTCCACAGTATTTCAGATCCTTGCTGCCTCCTGATTCCTTCAGTAATAGTCTTCTTATTTTTCTAGCCACCCTCTCTTTTGTCAAAAAAGAAGGAACCCAAGAGAGAGTAAATTAATGGATAAAATATTTGGTTCTCAAAGGAATAGAGAGAGGTCACTGTCCCAACCTGCAGGGGCTAAGTCTCTGTGTTATGAAGTCCTAACTGGAACACATTTCCTATCCCAGAAAAGCCTGTGGCCTGGCTGTCCAGGGGACCCACTCCTGGTCCTGACCGTCTGCTGCTGGTGTGCCGCGTCTCTGGATTCTACCCGAAGCCTGTGTGGGTGACGTGGCTGAGGGGGGAGCAGGAGCAGCCTGGCTCTCGGCGAGGTGATGTCCTGCCCAATGCTGACGGGACCTGGTATCTCCGAGTCACCCTGGACGTGGCAGCTGGGGAGGCTGCTGGCCTGTCCTGCCGAGTGAAGCACAGCAGTCTCGGTGGCCAGGACATTGTCCTCTACTGGGGTGAGAAAGTGGGAGAGAACTGAGGCCCACTAGAGAGGGAAGGAGATGTTCCTAACTGAAGAGGGAGGAGCGGGGGAAGGCTTGGAATTAACAAATCAAAGAGAGACGTATATATTGAGCTGGAGAGAGACACACAGAAACACACACCCACACACAGAGGAGATTGGTCTCTGGGATAAGAGGTATAACAACAGGTGATCTAAAATACAGAATACATAAGAATGGAGGCCCTACAGATTGGATGGGGAAGGTAAGAAGGAGGGACCAAGGATACATATTGAATGTGGCTTAAGCATTGCTCTGCTAGCCACAGAGTCAGCGATTTCCACTTACTGGGTCTCTGTAGCTGAAAGATGAGACTTCCTACCCCTGCGATGATGTATAGCCTCAGAAACCCACAGGGACAGTTCTACAACGTGCCAAGGGTTGCTGAGACCAAATTGACTCGATAGCTGTGAGTCCAGGTTTTTTTGTTTTGTTTGCCGTGCTTTGTTTTTTGAGACAATGAGAGAAGGGACCAGAACCTCCCCATACATTGGAAACAGGTAGATGGTGGTGCTGACATTCAGGTGGGCAGAGAAAGCCCTGGAAAATCAGAGAATGAGATTTGAAGTGACATGCTTGTGCCCTCTCTCAATTACTAGGACAGCCCGTCTCCATTGGCTTGATCTGTCTGGTTATAATACTGCCACCCTTGCTCCTTTTCATAGGCTTTGCATTACGGTTTATGAGGCACCGGTGAGTTTTATTGGTTAAATCTACTCTTTTTCACACCTCACTCTTTTCCACTGCTTTATTTCTCTTTAGCTTTAATATTTCCACCAGACCCTTTCCCCTTTCTGTTCAACTTCTTGACCCTCCCCCCAATGCTTTTATTTGTCTTCTTAACGGTCATATCAGGATATTCTTTGAGCCCTCATCAATCTTGCTTTCTATCAGCTTTGAAGACTGGAAGTTGAAGATGTTAGTCAAATAAAATTTATCCATCAGCAGAAAAAATAATTTAGAAACTTATTATTAACCAGTACCAACAGTAAGATGCGCCTATATTTAATACATGATAAAGTATTATAAAGAATGTTCTCAAAATAAGTGAAATACGGCAAAGACAACTTAATCGTGATATTCATTTACCTTTCTATTTTAAAACTGACTTTGTGTTTTTATTTAAGTACTGTTTGCCAAATAGGCTAAATATAATTGTGCAAGAATAATTGTATTTGCAGGAAGGGTGAGCCCTTGCAATGTAATACCTCTGTTTTTACTGGATGACCGTCTAACCTACTGGGCTCAATTGAAATGCTACTTCCTCTAGGAGGCCTTCCCCAAGGCTACAAATAGAAGCAACTAACTGAGCCTCACATGGAGTCATTTGTATTCAAATGCAGATTAGAAAAGTATCAGAGTTTACTTTTATTGTGGGCTTTGGAAGGGAAGTTAGGACAAGTATAAATTTGAAGAGGTTAGGTGTTTTAGAAAGACTGCTTTCATGAGGATAGTTTTAGACAAATGGATATATCAGGAATTTGGAGCAAAGGGAACATATTTAAGAAGTGTACAAAAAGATGGAAAACACAGCTTTCTTTTTCTATGTTAGCATAGTTGACTTTCTACTCCAGGATTCATTCAACTCTACCCCACCTGTGTAGTTGACTTGAATAGTTGATTCCACTTAGATCCACTGGATTGTCCTTTGGTTATTCTGTGTTCCCTCTGATTGTGGATTACTAACCAGCAACAGTTCAAGCAACACTTTTTCCAATAGTACTGCTATTATAAATCTAGTTGATAATATGCACAAAAACAAGACAGAGCAAAACAAAGCAACAAAACAAAACAACAACAACAACAAAACCAATGACAAAAAAAGGAAAAGCCTGTAAATAGTTCAAGGTCTGTTTGTTAACCTTTAGGAGTGTGTTCCAGTCAATGCTGATGGAGTGCCTTGCCACGCCCTGGCCTCAAAGTCCATTTTTGGTATTCCCTCCGGACTTCGTTGCTCTACTCCCCCTTGCTGTTCTGTTGCACACCCTTAGAGTTTTGCCTCAGTGTGGTGGGGTCAGATCTGGGGCAATTCCCACTCTGTGTCTCCAGTGTTGTCCCTTGTAGGGATATGGGTCAGTGAAGGATGTCCTGTCATGTAGTGGGGCTGGCCATATGGTGCTGGGCAGGATAAACAATCTGGAGGAAAAAACAATGGGACCAACTGTTCTCGGAGAACATGGGAGAGAGGGAGGTGGGGGAAAGGAAGTGGTGTTAACAAACCCAGGGACAAGGGAACAACAAGTGATCCCAAAATTGTTGGTGAGGAGGGTGTAAGAGGCCTGGTAGAGCTTGATCAAGGGCAATGTAACTGAGAGGAATTACTGAAACCCAAATGAAGGCTGAGCATGAATAATGGGACAAGAGGAAAGTAAAAGGAAATAGAGAAAAGAACTAGGAGGCAAACGGCATTTATACAAGTCTCAAAATACAGGCATGTACATATGTAAATATATTTATATATGATGATTGGGAAATAGATCTATGCATATATTTATAGATTTAGTATTAAGGTAGCAGATGGACATTGGGCCTGGACTCAAGTACTCCCTCAATGCAAGAACACTTTGTTTTATTAACCTGGCATTCCATAATGCTCAGCTTCCGGATGCAGTTGCTGAAGACAAAGTGGGTACATAAGCAAATGTGGTGGAGAAAGTTGATGGTGCCCAGCTATCTGGGGTCTTAAAGGCTTGAAGATAAACAAGCAGCCATCTAGCTTAGAAGCAACAAAGGCCACGTGGAAGAAGCACACCAGCCTGTGGTATCAGGAGATGTTGATGGCATCAGGTATCGGCATCAAAGAACAAAAAATCATATCATTGCGAATGAGAGGGAGTGCAGATTGGGGACCCAAAGTCCATCTGTAGGCAACTGAGCATCTCCTTATATAAGGGTTGTGGGGAGGAGATAAGCCATTCAGTGTGCAGTGTAGCAGCGATGAAACTTACAACTTTCCTCTAGTTCTTTAATGCTCCCCCCACCCACTATCATGATACCAATTCTATCTTACAAATCTGGCTAGACCAGAGGATGTACACTGGTACAGATAGAAACTGGAAACACAGGGAATCCAGGACAGATGAACCCTTCAGGACCAGTGGTGAGAGTGGCGATACCAGGAGGGTGGAGGGAAGGTGGGGTAGAAAGGGGGAACTGATTACAACAATCTACATATAAGCCCTTCCCTGGGAGATGGATGACAGAAAAGTAGGTGTAGGGAGACATCGGACAGTGTAAGACATGACAAAATAGTAATAATTTTTAAATTATCAAGGGTTCATGAGGGAGGGGTGGAGGAGGGGCAACAATGAGGAACTGATACCAAGGGCTCAAGTAAAAAGCAAATGTTTTGAGAATGATGATGGCAACAAATGTACAAATGTGCTTGACACAATGGATGTATGATGGATTGTGATAAGAGTTTTACAAGCCCCCAATAAAATGATTAAAAAAAGAAATGGAGTTGACAACTGGTCCTTTCTCTCTCTTGTTCTGTATCTATAATTCTTCTGCTTTGAATTCTAGGATGGAAAAATAATGCTACTTTTGACATTAGCAAGGATTGCTAGGATGTCTTGCAGTTATAAATAAAATTTAGAATCTTAGAAGTTTAACATAAAACAGCTTATTTCTGAGACTGCTTCATGACCAGGCAGGGTTATGTTCTATTTCACACAGTCACTATGAATCAGAGCTTACTAGATAGCAACCAGCAACAACAACACATAACAAAGCAAGTTTCTGTAGGTCAGGCAGCCCTTCTCTCACTCATAGTTCTCCCATCTGGAATAGGTCACCTCCAAGCTATTTCTGAGGGCAAGATGATCAGATGTGATGCTTAATTGGGCCAGTCTGGAAATAATGTACACATCGTGCTGAATTCAAGCACACTTCCCCATCCTAATTATGTGGAAACAGGAGAAATATGTTTTTCCTGTTGATATGTGTAGAAAAAAATGTGCTAAACTCTTGTTCTTATTTTCATTTACTTACAAATTTTATTTGAGAGCTACTTGATGGTTTATTAATGGCCCTGGCTAGTTAATATGTGTAAAAATGTGAGCACAAAATCTTGGTAGAACAAAGGCAATGCATTGATTATTATATTGTTGTTGTGTGCTGTCAAGTTGATTATGACACATTATGATCCTTATAGAACAGTGTAGAACTGTCCCATGAATTTTTATTGACTGTACTCTTTATGGGAGCAGATCACCAGGACTTTTTACTGTAGAGCCACTGTTTGGTTTGGTTAGCTGATCATTTGGTTAGCAGTTGAATGCTTAATCATTGTGTAGTGGGTTGGATAATATAAAACGGAAACCCTGGTGGCACGAATACTTGGCTGCTCAAAGAATAGCTCATCGTGGAAGTGATAACATTATATTAGATCACATCATGGGAGAATCCTAACCCAGCCAAGTTGACATAAAACCTAACTATCAAATAGGGTCATAATGAGTTGCAGCAGACACAACTCCATTTGTAACATTATTTATTACTCAGATTTCCCAGCAGTAGCAATGAGACTGGAGACCACATTGATACACTGGAGGGACAGAGAAACAAGAGGAAGACTCTTTTTAAAAAAAATCATTTTATTAGGGGCTCATACAACTCATCACAATCCATACATACCTCAATTGTGTAAAGCGCATTTGTACATTCATTGC